AAAAAAAAATCTCAATTTATTAACATTTCGTCATGAAAAAAAATTTTTTTTTGAGCAAGTAGAGTCGATCATCCAATTTTCTTTGATTTACTCTTTCCAATGGTATTACATATTTATACAAAAAGTTATCTCTAGCAATTCGACAAACCGTTGAAAAAGATAAAATTATATTTTAGCCAATCTAATAGGAACAAGATGCGTCGAGAAGCGCTTGTTTCAAATGGCGATGACAAACGTGCAAAAACATTTTACAAAGAGCAAACTCGAGTTCTTGCAGTTTCGAACTGACAGCCTGAATTGCGCTAAGAAGACGTTTCTGTTATTATTTCCTATTGCTCGAAACAGTAAATAAATTTGCAATTTTTGCCTAAGCCAGGCTGCTAACACATCGAAGCGAGGTCATTCGTGAGCACAAAGACCAAAGAAGGTGTCAGCTCCTCCAGTGCAATGTAATTTGCGGAAGATCCGATTGCATTACGCAAGCACCACAAAAACGGGAAAACACGGCATACAAAGTACAACGCTGAAGATATAAAGGCGATCCAAGGCCTCCAAAAGGGAATACGTTGAGTCGGCGATGGCAGCAACATCGCATTCAACAGAGCCAGCTGTTTGTCATTGCCTAATGCCGAAATCTCAGAGGAGCATCGTACTTGGCAGCGATCTCATCAGCAACGACCGGAATGTGACCCAGCGCAGCACGCGATGCCCAGCAAATATCCGCTTTTAGCTCTTCTCTGACTTTTACCCTCAACACGACTCCCCCCCCCCCTTCCCCGTGGGAAACAAGAAATTGAATATCTTAGCGTACGTAGAGCTAACGCATCTGTCTAAGTGTGTTCCGTACAAAAAACAATACGCCAATTTTTATGACAAATTTCGCACATATTGCATCCATAAGCGGACAATCGAATAATTTCAAAAACAACAACTATAGACGAGAAAATCGCTTCAGAAGCATCTGCAAACTCTTCAATAAAGGAACATCTACTACCACACAAAAAACACACAAGGACAGCCCGCCTACCCGAAAAATGATTAGAGTCGCGAGCAGAAGAGCAAAAAAGGCTGGCGAGAGCAAGATCACGTTAGATGTTACTGTATGAAAAACGACTCCTTATGTATATACCGGTAATTAGCCCGAGTGGCCAAGAGAATACGCATAGTACAATTTCATATCACAGAAAACAACGATGATGCTCATTAGCAAGCACAAATAACATAAAAGATACTAATACCAGCTACGAATACAAGATGGACCATTGTCCCAAAAAAGAGATTTCCGAAGGACAGACTTTGGACTCTAAGCTTTTGGACTATAAGAACAACGATAGGATTCGAAGTTGTCACGCGATGACAGTGGATCGAACCGCCCACAGTTGAAAATTAGTAACAAGGAATTTAGCGAGGCACTAAGAAAGGAAAAGTTCGTCTATCGCTTCCGACACTACCTCTTCCGCTATTCTTTCGACGGGATCCGTAGATGAAGATGGAAGTGTGGAGTTCAGAACTGTAAATAAAAATATGACTAGAACTCAGAAAATTCTTGAGCAGATTAACTAGCTTACTGGAGTCTAAAAGGCAATGGATCGGCACATTGGAACCTACTCAGATTGTGGTTGCGCTAGGCAGTAAATACCCAAGTACACCGTAGCCCCAATCTCACCCTCCAGTTCGTGCGCTGAGTCCTGAAAACGCTTCAAAACTACACCAGCCCCGCCCCCTTCCACTGAGTGGGCGTCATTGGTGGAGTTCTAAAGGCATTTTCAGGACTCAGCGCATGAATTGGAGGTTGGGGTTCGGGCCACGGTGTACTTGTGAATCTATTACCTAAGCGCTATCAACATCCGACTAAGGTCCATTTTGCCGATTCACTGCCTACAATCTACCTGAACTACACTTATCATTACCGGATCAATACTAATCAATCAATACTAAACAGAAAGATGGTGCCAATTTTGCCTTTCATCCATAAAAAAATCGCAAACCTGATGCTTCTCCAGTGACTGTTGCACCATCAGCGTGGTCAGCAGATCCTACAGCACCATTCTGCGTAGAAAACTAACAAATATATGAGCGATATTATATGAGCGAGATGCTTAGTATTTGCTTAGGCTATACCTCTTGTACTTGCGATGTTGGCTCGTGATTTTCCCCATGACGTTGCTCATCGGTGGGGTTGACCTCCTGTACTACAGGGCGTGTGTGGATCGAAACGGTAACTTGCTGGACGTCCAGAGGGCCAGCCGGCTAAAGCGCTTGTATAAAGAGGTAAACCAACCGGCCAACACTGCGAATCTCACCGGCGCAGTATTAATCTCTGTGAGAATACGTTGCAATCGATCTTGATACAGTATCAGAGGCATCTCATAATGATGGAAGAAAAATATCATGGAATGCTAGAAATGAAAAATGAGAAATAAATCACCAGATTATGATACAATAACGCTTTAGTAGCCCAAGGAACGTACAATTATAAAAGCTGTTGACGTTATTAAGGCCATTCCACCATATTGGCCTCCGAATCGGTACTGATATGCGTAGAAGAAAAACTGGTATAGATAGAAAAACCTAAAGTTCGATGAAAATTCTATGACCACTACAAAAAAATTGCAAAGTCTAAAGCATATATAAGATACTAGCTGGCATACCCGGCTCCGCCCGGT